GAATTGAAGAGTTTGTTCTTTGAAAGATAAAAGAAAATTGGCAAGCTCTTAGCCAACCTTATCAAAAAAAAGGAAAGACTCAAATCCATGCAATTAGAAATGGAAAGGGTGAAATCACAACAGATCCTACAGAAATCCAGATCATCAATACCTAATTTGAGATCCTCTATTCTAATAAGATGGAAAATGCAGAAGAAATGGACAGATTCTTAGATACATGTGAATTACCACAGCTGAATCAGAAGATATAAAAATTCTAAAAACCAATATCAGTCAGTGAAATTAAAGATGTAATTAAAAACGTACCAATAAAGAAAAGCACAGGCCCTGATGAATTCACTGCTAACTTCTTTTTTTTTGTTTTTTGTTTTTGTCTTTTTGAGACAAGGTCTCACTATGTAGTTCAGGCTGGCCTTGAGCTCACTTTGTAGCCCAGACTGGTCTCAAACTAGCAATGATCCTCCTGCCTCAGCCTCCTGAGTGCTGGGATTACAGGCATGTGCCACCATGCCTGGTTTTCACTGCTGAATTCTATAAGAAATTTAGAGAAGACCTAATGCCACTGCTTCTCAAACCCTTTAATGAAATAAAAAGAGAAGAAATACTCCCAAATTCATTCCTGGAACCAAGCATTGCCCTGATACTAAAACCAGAGAAGTATCCAACCAAAAAAGAGAACTATAAGCTAATCTTTCTGATGAAAATAGATGTAAAAATCTTCAATAAGATACTGGCAAACAGAATGCAGCAAATCATTAAGAAGATTATACACCATTGCAAAGTAAGATTCATCCCAGCAGTGGTTCAATATATGCAAATTTATAAATGTAATACACCATATTAACAGAGCCAAGGACAAAAACCATATGATCATCTCAGTAGATGTAGAAAAAGCTTTCAACAACATCCAACACCCCTTCATAATTTTGAAAAACCTACAGAAGATTGGAATAGATGGTTTTTATTTCAATCTGATAAAAGCCTTCTATGACAAACCAACAACCAACATCATACTAAGTGGACAAAAACTGAAACCTTTCACTCTAAAATCAGGAACAAGACAAGGATGTCCACTGCCACCACTCTTATTCAATATAGCTCTTGAAACATTAGCCAGAGCAATTAGACAAAGGAGAGGAAATAAAAGGAATAAGGAGAGGGAAGTAAGAAGTTCAATTATCATTGTTTATGTATGACATGATGCTCTACACAGAAGACTAAAATTAATAACCAAATTCAGTAGCATAGCTGGCTACAAAGTCTATATTCAAAAATCAACAGTGTTCTTGTACACCAATAACAAACTCACTGGGAAAGAAGTTAGGGAAACAACAACTTTAACAACAGCATCTAAAAAAATGAAATACCTAGGAATCAATCTAATGAAGAAAATAAAAGAACTCTACATTAAAAACCACAGTACTAGGGGCTGGTGATTTAGCTCAGTGGCACAGCTCCTGTCTGGCAAGCGCAAGGTCGTGAGTTCGATTCCCTGTACCAGAAAACACACACACACACACACACACACACACACAGTACTAAGCACAAGGTCCTGAGTTTGGTTCCTGGTACCAAAAAAAAAAAAAGAAAAATTAAAAAAAGAAAAGAAAACAATAGTACTGTGAAAAAGGACATTGAAAAGGGCATCAGAATCTAGAAAGATATCCCTCATTCTTGGGTAGGAAGAATGAATGTAGTGAAAATGACCATACTTCCAAAATTGTTATATAGATTTAATGCAGTTCTGATCAAAATTCCAATAGTGTATCTGTCAGAATTAGAGAAAACAATCCTAAAATTCATCTGGAACCAGAAGAGGCCTAGAATAGCAAAGGCAATTCTGAGCAAGAAAAACAAAGCCAAGGGCATCACAATCCCTGATTTGAAACAGGATGGTACTGGCAAAAAAAAAAAAAAGACCTAAAGATTAGTGGAACAGAGTAGAAGATGCAGAAAGAACTCCAAATGTATTCAGCAACCTTATCTTTGACAAAGGAGCCAAACACCTTCACTGAAAGAAAAATAGCCTCTTTATTTTCTCGTACTTGGAATCAAACTCATGATCTCATGCTTGCCAGGCAGGCACTGTGACGCTGAGCTATATCCCCAGCCCAGATAACCTCTTTAATAGATGGTGCTAGAAAAAACTGGCTTTACACATGCCAAAGATTAAAACTAGACCCATATCTTTCACCATGTACTCAACTAAAATTGAAATGGAAAAAATCTAAATATTAAAATAGAAACACTAAATCTGCTGGAAGATGGAATAGGTAGAACTCTTGAAGACATGGGTATAGGCACAGACTTTATGAGCAAAACCCTGATTGCACAGGAACTATTACAAAGAATCAACAACTGGGACCTCATCTTATCAAAAAGCTTTTGCACAGCAAGGGAAACCACCAACAGAGTGAAGAGAACCCACAGTGTGGGAAACAAAATTTGTCAGCTGTTCCTCAAAAAAGGACTACTATCTGGAATACATAAAGAACTCAAAAATCATACCCACCAAATTTAAAGACCCGTCCAAAAGTGGGTATCTGAAATTAATAGAAACTTCTCCAATAAAGAAGTAGAAACAGCAAATAAATATATGAAAAAATGTTCAACATCACTTGTCATTCAAGAGATACAGATTAAAGCAATGCTGAGGCACCATCTCACTCCAGAAAGAATGTTTATTATCAAGAAATCAACCAATAATAAATCCTATGGGGCTGTGGGGAAAAAGGAACCCTTCTCCACTGATGGTAAGAGTGTAGACTGGTATAGCTACTGTGGAAATCAGTATGGAGATTCCTCAGAAAACTAGGACTAGAGGTTCTACTTGACCCAGCTATTCTCCTCCTAGGTATCCTCTGAAATAATTAAAAGCATCATATCACAATGATATATGCACACCCATGTTTATAGTAGCAGTTTGTAATAGCTAAATCTTGGAAACAGCCCAAATGCTCATAACTGATGAATGGATTAAAAAATGTGGTTTTTTTTATACAGTGGAATACTACTCAGCCATAAAGAAGGATAAATTTGAGACATTTCTAGGTAAATGGATACACCTTGAGACTATACTCTTAAGTGAAATATGGCATTGTTTCTCTGGTGTGGGAAACCAAAAGTATAAATCAGGACCAAAGTTTATAATAGATATTGTGAAATAGGAAGAAAATGTTCAAGTGGGAAGGGGAACTAAGGAGGAGAGACGGGAAAAGAAAGAAAGGAGAAAAAGTAAAAAATAGAAACCAAGCTTTTGTAAATAAGGAGAGGAACAGGGGTTGAAGGGAGGGCAAGGGAAGGGGAAAGAAATCAAGATACATTGTGTATAGGTACAAATTCCTTCAGATGAATGTGATCACTATGTAGATCTAAAGTATACCAATAAACTTAATAATAAAAAAGGAGCAAGTTCTGCAGAGCTCACAAAGGAAGTGGTTTCTGAGCTAACCCTCAATGGGTTGGGGGCGGGGAGAGGCTGGGAATTTAGCTCAGCAGCACAGAGCCTGCCCGGCAAGCACAAGGTCGTGAGTTCGATTCCCGGTACCAGAGAAAAAAACAAACAAACAAAAAAACAACAAACAAACAAAAAGGGTCAGGGAAGTCTGAGGACAAGTATGTCCCTGGCAGAGGACAGAAAAGCAAGGGTACAGTCACGTGGAGGATGGTCACAGCCCGAGATTATGACAGCAGAAGAGTGATGACTTTGAGCTTGTGGGAGAATTTATAATTTTCCAAGAAGTAATACTTGCAAGAGTACAAAATAGAAAAGCTGCTCCTCCCGGGTAACCAGTTCCCTCCCAGGCAATCACTGTGGCTGGTTTCTCGAAGGCTCTTTGTAGGATACATGAACACATATGAATACACGCTTGTGTATGTTTTTATATAAATAGGACTAGCCCATACACAATGGCTCACGTTTGCTGTTAACACTAACAGGAATCTTAGCTTCCAAGTTTGTATGGGAAGGCTTTGCTTGTTTTGTAATAGATTCCTAGGAGGTAACCCACTTTGTTAACCAGTTTATCAATGAACGATTGGGTTCCTTCTCATCTTTCCCCCTTTGAAGTTTTTACAGTGTGTAACCCTTAACATATGCTATTTTACACATGTACAAATTAATCTGCGGGAGAAATTCTCAGAAGTGGAATTGTGATATCACAGTTTGTGCTTTTTACATGTTGACCGTTATTGTCACACTGCCCATCCTGGCTCCAGTCCACACCCCCACCTGCAGGGGCCAGACAGCCTGCTTCTGCGCACTTTGAAGGATGGATTTGTAACGACTATCAGGAGCCACACTCTCCAGAGCCTTTGCACAGAGCTAAGAGGTTGCAGGGGATCCATCACACCCTGGAAGCACATCAGAGCGGTTGGGTATTGGGTGAAGATAGATAGGTCTGAGTTCTGAAAGAAAGTTGATTTTCATGATGACATCAATAAATTCGTGAGGCATTTTTACTGTCCAGCAGGCATGAGTGATAAAGTGATGAATGCAAGAAGGACCCAGGTGTCCATTGAGATCCCAGCCTCACCAGGGACGGGATGGTTATCTGTGGGGCCAGCTGCCATTCCCACAATGGCGCTGCACCTGGGCAGCACGCCATCCCTTCACCATCCCTAACTCTGAATTTCCTCTGGTTTTCTTTATCACTACTGGCTTCTTCTGAAACATTTCACCATGGACACAGCATAAAATCAAAAGTGAGGCATTTTTATCGAGCATGGACAGTTGACCAGATGACAAATAGGTGACACAGCCATGGGATCTTTGTCTAAGACCCTCAGGAACTAATTGGCTTGGCGACAGGCATGGAGCAAAGGGGGGGGCAAAGCTAAACTGTGGATGCATTCATCCCCGGGCTTTTGTTTCTGAAACAGAAAGGGTGGCTATTTTTTGATGCAAAGAGACGGGAAGATGGATGGGTGAGGATTGCAAGGCACCAGGATATGAAGGACCAAGAGCGAGCTCCATCCAGCGGTTCCAGCAGTGGTCCAGGATGTGCACTGCAGGCTTGGTGCTCCTGGGGCTCGCCCTGAGGCTTCAGGCCGCCACTGCTCAGCCAGAAGACCACAGCTTTTGTTCTAAGAACCAGGTGGCCTTCGGAAATGCTTGCTATGAGTTTGTGCCACTTGGACGCACCTTCCGCGGTGCCCAGAGCTGGTGTGAAGGGCAAGGAGGCCATCTGGTCTTCGTTCGTGATGAGCGCACCCAGCACTTTCTGCAGCGGCACCTCTCCCAGGACAGAGAGTGGTGGATTGGGCTCACAGGGACCTCGGCATGCAACGGGACCACGGGAGGTAGGTGCGGGCACAGCTGGGGTTTGTGGGAAGCTTGTGATCAAAATCCTCCTTATCACTTGTCACCCGGAGACCCATTGGGGTCGCATTCTTCTTTAGTTGTCTTGTGGATTAAATAAAATAACTCACTGTTCATGATGGGCGCAGACTCTTCCACGATAGCCTGGACACGTTCATTTCTTTCCGTGTGCTATGTGTGTGCGCACATGTGTGCACGTGCGTGTGTGCCCGTGCTGGGGCTAGAACTCAGGACTCAAGCCTGCTAGGCCACTGAACTGCACCCCGCCCCAGTCCTTCACGCACTTATTTCTAATTCTAGCCATGGCTTCTTCAGTTTTAGCTAGAATAGTGCCAGCCACTGTCGTGAGCACTTCACGGCCATTGTCACATTGATCTTTACAAGACCAATGAGAAATGTCTTACTGTTGTCCTTGTTTTGCAAAGAAGAAAGCTGTTTCAGGAAATGATGCCTTCCAAGTCTTTCCCCAGTTGCTATGACACTGAAGCAGCTCAGGTTAACACAGCGCCTTTCACATCAGATGTGCCTTTTGTGGTCTTCCTGGAAACTCTCCTTTCTCCTCCCTCCCTCCCTCCGCCATCAGCACAGTGAGGAGCATCCTTCTCTGCGCCTCTCTGGGACCCGTCCACCCCTCTGCAACAGTGGTTTGGCCATGGCTGAAAGAGACTACAAGCCCCTCAAAAGAAGAAAGGATACATTGTGTTATGGTTGATATACTGTATCAACTTGGGGAGTCCGGAGGCTTGGCTAAGTGACTCAGCGGTTTACATCCTGGGGTGAAAAGGACATGCCCTTCCTGCTCTAGGATGTTGTTCATTGTGTCAGTGTGGGAAGTTTAGAAGGTGAACTGTGTGACTCAGCAGGGAGCCAGGGTGCTTCCTTTGTATTCATCCTGAGCCTGTGCAAGAGGAGGGCATGGGGATTATGTGAGTGCTACACGCCCTGGGTCGGGGTAGCCTGCTTACAATATAAGGGAGGGAAAGAGGCTGGCTAGCTCTGCCATTCCCCACCTTTGCTCTTGTTGCTTTGCCATCTTCTGCCACCATGAACGTTTGCCCTCTGCCATGTGCCACGCTGCCTCAGAGCCAGCCAAGTATGGACTGAAACCTCCACAAATTGTGAGCTAAATAAACCTCTCCTTCCTTTATTTTGGGCTTTGGGTATTTTGTCTCAGCAAAGAGAGAAAAGTAACCAAGACACATTGGTATTTAATCCTGATAGGAGGTTGGCATGGCAACTCTTATTTACCAGTGAGGACAATGCTGAGAGGAATCGCCTCATCCGAGATAATGTGGAACGTGAGGCAGCAAGGTCTTAAGCGACTCCCAAGCCTGCCTTCTCCTGCCTTGTCACATCAGTTTTCAGGGTTCTCTCGGCTCCTGTAGAAGCTACTTGGGCTCAGAAATGAGTAGCTTGGTCTGAGCTGAGCACCCACAGAAATATACAGAGTACGTGGAAATGTCTTTAAAAGCCAGCAGGTGGGGGGAATCACTTAAGGCAATTCACAGCCAAGGGGATCCGAGTTTTTACGCTGCCTCCTCAAGCAATGTCTGTTGCAAGTTTCTTGACTTGAAGACACGGCAGTTGTGGATTTCTGTATGTTTGGTTCATTCATACGCAGCTGAAGAATTTGCATCTAATAAGATCTCCCAAGGGTTGCCTTGTGGTTGTTAGGTTAGGGTTAGGCTATTAAGGTTAGGGTTAGGCTGTTAAGGTTAGGCTGTTAGGGTTAATATTAGTCAGTCAGGCAGCACCCTGCAAAACTTAATGTTATTGAAGAAGCAAAGGCCAGAGTACCATGAGCAATAGGATAGCATTCGTGTAAATATATTTCAAGTACTCCTAAATGCTGATACGTGCGTACAGGTCAGCCTGGAAGGACTTACAGGAAACTTAGTGATGGGAGCAGTCCACAGATTGGGAGAAGGAGGGTGCTTTAGTTTTGCACCCTTTCACAGTGTTTGAAATTTTGACAATATTTGCATGAGTGTATGTTCTTTCTGAAGGTAATGATTACAGTCTTTGAGGTTTTTGGCACACATAAAAAAGTTGATTTATTCGTTGAATACCAAGGTATTCTTCAGAAGAGATTCTAAGAAGCAGGAACAGGGACAATGACAGAACTGAAGAGGGGTCATGAGTCACAAGGATAGCACAGAGGCATTGAGCAGAAAACAAACAAGCGGTTGTCACAATACTGGGATAAGAAGAAAAGGACGAGAGCTTGTGTAGTGTGGGGGAAGGGGAAGGCGCAGGAAAATTTAGGTCTCACCCACTGGCTTTGACGGAGGGGGTGTTCCAGGCTCAGCCAGAGGGTGAGCTATTGTTATACTACTTCCCTATCCAAGAGTCTGTCTTCTGATTGTTAGAAGACCGGTAAATGCACTGACCTTGCCCTCCTTCAAGTTGTCAGAAATGGGGAATGTTTAGAAAACAAGTCTAGGTTCCCTTTCTAGATGAGTGTTTCAAAGTTATACCCGTTACCTCCAAAACGGAAGTATGAAGAGCTAGTGGAAAGCTGTTGCCGGTACTGTACTAGATGCCTCCCTTCAGCGACTTTGAAGCGGCCAGGCAACCCAAGAAAGACTAGTTATAATATGGTCCATTCCCGGGGATCTCTTCTGAGCAAAGTTGGCAGATGCATTTGGTCAAGAATGAAGGGAGATTATGCAGGACGGACGAGGTCTTGATGAACTTGCTGGGGGGCATGGACACAGCAAGTGAGGGGAGAGTAGCATCCTCTTCTTTGCCCCGAGAAGGGATGGTCTTCATCTGGGTGTAGCACTGGATTCCATTTGCCATAGACATTGGTGTCTCCTCTAGAGGAAGATCCAGAGCCGGCGCCCCAGGACATTGGCAAAGGCACTGGAATGGGGACATTCACTCCCACCTGTCCAGCGTCCACCAGGTGGGAGGATTTCCAAGCAGTGGCTCCCCTGGTGGTGAAGATGGCAGCTCTATTTCCATACGGTTGACGTTTATGACATTATTGGCTTCATCCAATATTTCTGTCTCCAGAACCACAAGAACCAGACCAAACTCTCCTGTGTGTAAAAGCTCATATTTGGCTTGACAGCTGAGGTGATAGCTGGTCCGACAGAGTCATCATTTTCATAGCTTTTAATATTTCACCTATCCAGACGGTTGGAAGCTCCCTCCTTTGGTCCACTACTGATCAGATTATAGATGTGCTTTTTGGCTTGGGGGTGGTCAGAGGACCAAGAAAAGCTCCAGGGTGGCCTCTTGCATTGACCCAGTTTTTGGCAAGCTCCACCACCAGCTCTGCAGCCACTTTCTAGCTTCTCCCATGAGGACTGCTGTTGAGACGGTCACACGGCACTGACCAGCAGCTCCAGTGCCGCCCACCCAGCTGGCTCGGGGATGTTCCTTATTGGCGTCTGGTGTGACTACCTCATGGCTTTTGGCTCCCATATCAGCCGGAATCCCCTAGCCCTGTCTTGACCCTCCTTGAAGACATACTCTTCTGCCAGGTTGGATCCCAAATCTTGAGTCTTAACAGTAACTTTGTGTACCTACCGTCTTCAATATCTCTGAAATTCTCCTTACCAAGAGTGGTAGCACATACCCATAACCCCAGCTGAGGAAAGCTGGGAAGCTGAGGAAGGCTGGCCACAAGTTAGAGGCCAGCCTGGGCAACTTAGCGATTTAGTGAGACCCTGTCTCAAAATGTAAGAATAGTACTAATTTTTAAAAGGAGCTGGGGATGTAGCTGAGTGGCAGACTGTCACTTTGCTGAGAGAAAATACCTGATGCCCAGAATTAAGGAAGGGAAGGTTTATTTAGCTCACAGTCTGTGGAGGTTTCAGTCGATACTTGGCTGGCTCCAAGGCAGGGTGGCACATGGCAGAGGGCAACAAACAGTTCATGGTGGCGGAAGACAGCAAAGCAATAAGAGCAAAAGGGGGAAGTGGTGGCAAGCAGCCAGTTTCCCTCCCGTACCCTGTATGCAAAGTACCCGCCCCAGGGCAGGTGTACCCATCACACCCATGAACCAATCATGCACTCTAGAAGCCCGTCCCATGACTGCATGGGGCTTTGGGGGTTCATCCAGACACAAACCGTAACACACTTCAGGAGCAGCAGCGGTGTTGGAAGGTTCTGATGTCCTGAAGTCACATAAACTACCCCCACCCTGACTCATCTCATCGGTCCATCCTGAGTCAGACGCACCTGGGCGGGCCCTCCTGTGGTAGGTGGCACACCTGTGACCTCCTGGCACACTCGGGTTCTGTCTCATCTCGGGTGGGGCAGAGCCGGCAGCAGCATGACTTAGTCGAACCACTTTTTTTTTTTTTCAGACAGTGCCTCCCTATGCAGTTCAGGCTAGTCTTGAACTCACTTTGTAGCCCAGGCTGGCCTCCAATTTGCAAGATCCTCCTGCCTCAGCCTCCCGAGGGTTGGGGTTACAGGCATGCACCACCATGCCCAGCTTGAGCCACCTTTTAAGGGCTCTCCAATCTGAGACCCCAGACCTTACACCTGGTGTTTGAAGTCAAGGGCGAGGGCACCTCTCCACTAGTATGGGAAATGCGCCTTCATCCCTGACATAGATTGAGCCCCTGCAGCATCCCAGGTGTTCAGTCCTCCCCAGAAAGGGCTAAGAGGACTCCTGCCAAGTCCTGGTGGTCTTGTTCCCATCCCAGGGCCCGGGACCTGGTTGGACCTCTCCAATGTGAGCTTCAGCAACTGGCAGCCGGGGAGGGCGGCTCCCGCTGCCCAGACCTGCGGCTACATCAGCAGAGGCCCCTCCGCCGCGTGGGCGGCCGTGGACGACTGCGCCCAGACCTTTGCCTTCATCTGCGAGTTTGGTGAGCTGGCCCCGGTGCGGGCGCCCTCCTCCCCGCGGGCCTGGCTCCGGTCCTGCCGCGCCTGTCTCGCTGGCCCGGCCCCACCGGCCCTTGGCTTCCCCCTCTCTGACTTCTCTCCCTGCCTGCTCCTTCTCCATCCAGGTCTCGCTTGCTCTCTCCTTCTCTTTCTGTCCCTGTCTGGCTCCCCGCATGAGGGCTCCTTGCTCTGTGTCTGCTTGTTTAAATGCCTGCCTGTCTTGCTCCCTTTCTTTCTTTGTTTTGTTTCGGCTTTTCTGTTTGTTTGTTTGTGAGACAGGGTCTCCCTATGCAGTTCAGGCTGGACTTGGACTCACAGTGTAGCCCGGGCTGGTCTCACCCTCATCCCTCCGAGTGCTGGGATTACAGGCACCCACCATGTGCTTGGTCTTCCTGTCATTTTCTGAGCTGGCCTCTGCCCGGGACGCTCGGACTCTTTCCCTCTTGGTCCGTCCGCCCCCTGTGACGCTCTGTATCCTTCCGCGTCTCGCTGTCTCTCTCCCCGGCTCCCCCACCTGTCCCAGTCCTCGCACCTCGCAGCCCTGCCCCCCGAAACATCTACTGGCCGGCCCCCCTCTGACCCGTGCGCCCCTTCCCTCGGTGACAGAGAATGGCCAGAGCCTGGCGTGTGAAGGCCTCAATGCCACCATGCACTGTGGCTCCGGAGAGGTCATCCAGGTCCAGGATGCCGTCTACGGGCGCCAGACCCCTCACTACTGCACCCAGGATGCCTGGCGGCCCTCGGACCCGGAGGAGGACTGCAGCTGGGTCAGCGTCAGGGACGAGGTGGCAGGTAGGGCACGTGGACAGCTCTAACAATGTCCAGACGTGTGGGGTCACTGGCCGGGGCAGCAGGGAGCTGTGGCTGACATCCAGCCCAGCGCCTGGGTCAGGGACGCTTCTGTTCCCCTATCCCTTGTGCGCACAGGAAACACCAACACACTAGATGTAAAGTTTTGAATTTTTAAATATTTAACACGTACAGACAAGAATAAAAACATACTAGGATGGACTCCCTGAGCCACTACTCCCCTTTGTCAGATCTTAACATTTGCTCAAGATTACCTTGTTTAAAAAGTGTGTGTGTGTGGGGTCCAGATGTGGTGGTACATACCTGTGGTCCCAACATTCAGGAGGCTGAGGCAGGAGGAGTGCTGTGAGTTCAAGGTCAGTTTAAACTACATAGCAAGACCCTGTCTCTAAAAAAAAAAAAAAAAGGACACGTGGCTGGGCATGGTGGTGCACTCCTGTAACCCTAGCTACTCAGAAGGCTGAAGGAAAGAGTCACAAATTTAAAGGCAGCCTGGGCAACTGAGTGAGACTTTGTCTAAAAATTCAAAAACTCAGGAGGGTTGGGGGTATAGCCCAGCAGTAGGTCACTTGCCTACCACGTGCTCAGTCCTCAGTACCGCAGAACAGAACAAAACAAAACAGAAACAAAGAAACAAAGATTGAAAGCAAAAATCCAAACACAGTACAAGTCTCCTGCATGGCACTTCCTCAGGCTGATGCGTTCCTGTCCGGAGTCTGGTGTTTATTCATCGCTGTTAATGGCTCCTGTAGCTCCCTATTCCCCGCCCTCTCTCTCTTCCCTTAAACAGCCTGCGGCAGGTTGCCTGTGCAGGCTTTACTGTGTAGGCGGACGGCACCGCTCTGCGTCACTGGGCGGTGGATTTTTCTTTTTCATTGTACTGTCGTATCTTGCTCAACCTTGTTTCCGAGACGTGCAGTCCACCTGGACCGTGCGTTGCTCTACCACGCGGGTTCACCTGTTGCAGCAGAGAGGAACCTCTCCCTCTGGCGGTTCTCATTTCCGTCCCTGCGGGAGTCTCCCTTGGACTTTGTTTTTTTAAATCAGAGGAAATCACTTCCTCAAGGACAAGGGCTCAGGCTCAGGAATTCTAGGGGCTCCGCTCCCCCAAGAAGTCAAGTCCTCAGAGATCCCATCCATCCTCCAGGACCCCAACGGGCTCTCCCTGGTCTCCTGCGGTGACCACTGTCCATTCTGCAGGGTCCCGGGAAGGCAGGTGGTCTCTGCGTCTCAGCTCGGGGGACACAGCCAAGGACGCCCAGCTGGGAGCCCTGGGCCTTGCTGTGTGCCTCCCCAACCGAGCCCCTGCCACTACCCCTAGGCGCTTTCATCACCAGGGCCTCGCTCCCCTGGGGCAGGGTGGGGGCAGGAAAGGTTGGAATCAGCTCGTGGGACCTCTGTGAGCTGCTCCAGGCCTCTAAGAAGCAGGGCCCTGCTTAGGAGCCTCCTTCACCGAGGAGGCTGGGGCCTCTATGTTCAGAAATAGGGCAGAGAGACAGGGCAGCTGCACTCACTGAGGAGGCCGAGGAGAAGACCTGGGAGAGCCCCTGAAGTCTGAGCGCCCTGATCACTTGCTGAGGGTCACCCATTCGTTCAACTGGCCAGGAAACACTTAGTGTGGGTCCCTCGTTCGTCGAGTCGGCCCGTGAACATTGAGTGAGCACCAGTGCTGCGCTAGCCACCATGCTGCTCTGTGGTGCGGGCGCGGATCTGTCTGTTTTTCAAAGAGCGCAAAGTCCAGTGGGGACACGGAGCTGTCTGCTCCGCGATTACCGACCCGTGTGATAAACGCTGAGCGGGGAAGGGAGCCAAAGGTGCCGTGAGTGACTCACGCAAGCTCCTTCTTCATGTGCCACGGGCCGCGTACTGCTTTGTGTGCTGGAGACGCAGCAGTGAGCAGATTTAAATCCTCCCGCACCCCTTTGCAGACTGTAGAGCGGAGCTGTGGATGTGCGTGGAAGGAGCACAGAAATCGTGCCAGGGCTGGGGTGGCAGAATGGAGGCCTAGGACATGCCAGGCCCTGGGTTCCGTCCCCATTCACACACACGTGTGCACACACACACACACACACACACACACGCATACATGCACGCACAGGCCCAATGCAAAGAAACAAACAATCTCACAAATGTTTTGAGCTGGCACCTGGGAACTTGTTAGAAACGCAAAGGCCTGGGCCTCACACAGACCCACAAGTCCAGAGTGGGGAGCGGAAGGTCTGGAATCCGCATCTTCACAAGCCCTCTGGGGACTCTGGCACTTGCTGAGGTTTGAGGCCCAGCGTGCCAGCCCCTGAGCTGTGACGGGCAGGAGTCCTACCCTGCCGTCCTGTGATGCCCAGCTCAGCGCCTAGCCTTCAGCATTTGCCCACAGGTGCTGCTGGGCGGGTGCGGGTTGACGCATATGCTCTAACTCATCTCCACGACCCTCTGCTGAGCGCTGTCCTTGTGTCTCACACGCTGTTCCTGCTTCCGTGGGGACCTGGGGGCTTCCCAGGCCAGTGCCAGGGGCTGCAGGCTTGCCAGGTGGCAGCAGACGGGACCTACTTTGGAGACCTGTGTCCCAGCCGGGGCAGCTACCTGTGGGTGCAGTACCAGTGCCGGGAAGGTGAGTCTGGGGCCTGGGAACTTCCTTATCTCCATATCTGTCCAGTTTTCCCCAGGAAGGAAGAGGTGGCCGCCAAGTCCCTAAGCCCCACATGGTCTTTGCCCCAGGGCCCTTCACATCAAATGCAGAAAAGACAAAAGCAAGGCTGCTCAACTGGGTGGAGCCAAAAGACCTCCCACTTTTAAAATTACAAATCTTGAAAGCCATAAAAATAACCTACGTTATCACAATTTATACAAGTTTTATAAAATGAAAAAAAGACTCTTCAATTTGGTAATCTTACTCCCCATAAGGAAACATAATTATGTAGAAGAAATTCTTCCTTGCATTGTGAAACGCGGGCATAGATGTGCTCTACATGAACGTATATATGTATAGTTTTATAAAAATATGACCATGTGAAAGGGATTAGTCTACAACTTGCTTCCTTTTCCCTAGTAATATGTCCCCAACATCTCTCCAAGTCGCTACCTTGTTCTTTTTTTTTTTTTTTTTTTTTTTTTT